AACCCAGGGAAATTCAAAATAACCGCTGCAAGAGACCAAAGTTTAATCCAGGAACAAACTGGAGAAAAACGGGTCAATAAGACTCGGCCCAATGAGGAAATAACTCAAATGGGGAGTAATTCCATCCAGATAAAAGCTGGGGAGGAAGGATAAAACAAAAATCTTCCACGAGACATAAACTCAATGGGGATTTAGAAAGGATATGCACTTTCTGCTTAGGGTCGACACTCTAATGGAAAGAGGACACACACCCTACGGGGATAACAACACCAGAGAAAGGGAAAACACGCAAGAAATGCAAGATGCACAATGCAACAAAAACATGTTATGCTTCACAAATGAATGCGCATTTAATTCATATGAGTATGAACATGCTGAAAAAATAGACAAAAAGATAATCAAAGGGTGAAGAAACATCACAACACCACTGAATACTCGGCTAATCTCAACAAGCTAGAGACATCACTGGAGATCCTACTAGGGATAAAAATGAGGAAATCTTGCAAGAGATAAACAAAAGCCATCAAAGGAAAATAAATCCTAAGATACTGCTTGGATGGAAAACCCAAAGATCAATCTTCAATAATTGATAATCCACAAAGACGATAACAACATGAACTCTGCTTCAAGGACGAACGATAAACTGTTGAAGGGAACGTCAACCTAAATCTCATTGACTCATCCTGGGGATTGTAATCATGTAAGCAGTTATACAAACTCCACTGGGGAATAATGCAGATCTTTCGGGGATACAAAAAAGAACTCTGAGAGACTAAGTAACTCTGAGAGAAACATCCTGGATTTTCCGTGGAAAATAATAAGTTAACATCATAGCAAGAAGTCAATCAATGGGGGATTTTAAATCAATACCCAACACAGGCGAGAGAAAATCCGACAGGTGACTGCTATATCAACATTTCTTAGAAGGCAACCACATTGCACTTTTCTTGGGAAACATATAAAGTAATAATGCATAACCTCTACTGGGGATCAGCAAGGACAAATCTTTGCATGGGTATTAACATCAAGGGGAGGTGGTCCTTAAAACTGCTCAACTGCTTAACCATAACATAATCGGCTTGAAGAAAAAGAACTGGATCAAGACCTAGCTGGGGAAAATCGAATAGCAATCGTCTGGTTATCCATAAGAACAAAACTCTGCTGAGGAAAAAATTAACAAACTCTACTGGAGAAATATCAATACAACTCTACTGGGGAGCTATCAATAAATTCTACCTGCCGAGGAAAACATAATAGCCTTGTGCTTCACGGTTTTACCATTCTTGGGATAACCGTTAAAATTATTTTTTATATTCATAAATCAAAGGAAAATGTTTTTACAATTTTCAAAAATTTAAATCAATTATTCACATTTGTTTCAAAAAATCATCATCAAAAATAAAATGAAACTCTGCAAACAGAAATAATATAAGAATTGCAAAGGGACGAAGGCCCAAATTTTATTGATAGAATGGTAGTCCACAAAAGGCATAACTCCACGGATCATTACAAAGTTGAGAAAATGCTAAATGCATGAAAAGTATCAGGGTCGTCTCAAAAATCCTCATCATGGTCGCCATGTCTTCGCACAGGGCTTTCCTCCTGCTCGTTTTGTTAACCCCCATGATTGCTTTGGACTCCGCCGCATGTACGACCACAGATTTATTCCCGCCAAAGAACTTTCGATGAAGGTAGCAGGGAGGCAACACAAATATCTCCTCGACAACACCTTTCAAGAGGTCGAAGGGGCCGGACTCCTCAAGATGTTGCTTCTTGGCCGGGGGGTCTTGAGAGACCGGGGACTGGCTTCCCCGAGGAGTGAAAGATCCGCCGGACTGCAGGTCATCCTAGGCCATCCCTTGGACTTAGGCGACACGATTTTTCGTTGCTTTCTTGGCGCCCTTGTTCGCCGCAAGCTTTAGTACGTGCTTCTGGATGCTTGACATCTGGCCTGCAACAGAAAAAAAGGAAAACAAGTCAATATAGCGAAGAAAATCGAGCGGGTATGCGAGCAGAGAAAACACCCACTACCTAAGAACCTTAAGGCTTCCTCGTCAGACCCGCACTTGAGGAGGGTCTTGGTGTTGATTAACCGAGGTTCACAGTGAACCTCCCCACGCTTGTTAAGAATAAAACTCGCATCCTTGTTGACATATTTAGCGGGAGTGAAACCAGAGACGAACTCGACTATCTTCTTGTAAGATAACAGATCCTGGACGTTCAGAGTGTTAGGCTTTACAATGTAGTTGTCCCTACCTCTGTTGAAATGGCCCTTCTCCCACTCAAGAGAGAACTACAACTCTAAAGTCTCCACCTACTGCCTGTCATCCTCCTTGACCACAAGGTTGTATAGGGAGTTGACGTCCACATGCGACATAGGCTTTACGACAAAGAACATGTCCTTAAAGGTACAGACAGAACCTTGGTATGCTCGGAACAACTTCCTCGGATGCTTTAGAGACACCCAACTATGCCGACCTTGAAAGGATTGTCGTTGTAGGTGAAAAGTGTTGAAGAACAAGGGGAGCGTGGCTCCAATCCAAAGGTGTTGACACACGAGCTCGAACGCTCGAACGAACACAATCACATTGGGATGAAGCTGCGAAGGCGCCAGGTATAGCCACTAGATCACCCCCTTTTGGATGTCACTAAAGGGAAGACGAAGCCCCGCATCCCGAAACGTTAACTCGTACATTTGTAACCGCATCCCTTTAAACCTCGAGCAAATGCGATGCTTCTTTTTTTGGGCTTGTAAACCATCTAACTCGGGGAAGCATCCTCAACGTGGTCCTCGAAGGTGGCAGACGCGTCCGAGTCGTCGATGGCGAAGCGTGACGTGGTACTAAAGGGTTCCTGCTCGGCCCAATCTTCAGGCATGCAGGCTTGCTCGACCCCGACTTGCTCAACGGAGGTGTCGGACTCGACTTCCTCATCGATTACAATGACATCCCTAGTCATTGCGGCCATTTTACCTGAAAAGTAGAGGAAAATGGTCAATTTGACATCTAAGATCAAATTCATCACCCTTCCACTGCAAATCAAGTGAAAGGGCGAAGAGAGGGGCGAGGAGTCACTTGACAAACTTCCCCAGCCATAACACCAGCCAAAAACTCATCCGCGAGGGAACTCTCCTCAACGCAAAATAGTGAGCCTACCTCCTTGTTAGGAAGTCTCATCCACGAGGAGACTCTCCTCGATGCATAACGACAAGCCTCCCTCTTCGGTAGCAAGGCTCCTCGACAAGTAAAATCCCTCCAATTGAACGTGGGAAGCCTCCTTGACGAGAGGCTTCCTCAGGATGTTCACGCGCTCGCGGGGAGAAAGGCTCCCCGGGACCTTCATCGTAGGTCCCCGAGGCCTTCACCAGAAACCCCATGAAGATCCTCAGAATCCTCATGAACTCCCCGAAATCTTCATCGGAAGCTTCATGGTTCCGCCGAAAACTTCATGAGATTCGTCGAGAACTTCATCGGTTCGCTGAAAACTTCATGGGGTTTGCAGGGAACTTCATTAGTTCGCCGAAAACCTCATGGACTAAACGGAAACATCATCGAAAAGTTTATAAAATCTAGAAAAAGGGCCAGGAACTTACTTGAAGGAAGGAGATTCTGGACGTGGAAAAAGGCTACCGACAGTTGCGGCGGCGGACGTGCTTTGGAAAGCAGGGAGAGTTGTGAGTCTTGAGAGAAAATAAAAGGGGAGCGTGCAAATAAAGCGGACTTCTCCCCTATTTATAAACCCTAGCATGGGAAGTGAGGCATCCCTAGACACTTAAGTACCCCTTACTCGTAGTCGTCCTATGCATTTATTACTTTTGACACATGGTCTTAGAAGGTACCACGAGTGTCCTTTCAGATCCCTCTCCTACTCGAGACCAGACGTGTCCGTTCCTTTCCGCTTTCGTCACATCTATGCTGTCGGAAACGCTTCTCCGGGGGAAGTAGGAAAAGAGTCGAGACTACATCTGGCAGACAAGTCCCCCTGCGAGATCTTGTCCTACGAGCAACTCCTACTTCCGACCACACGCTTCATCCCCCGAGCTCAGTGTCTCGAACGCACACGACGCTCCTCCGGGCAGGTCCTCGACGCTAGAGCTCACTCTTAAGTCATTATTTCTCTGCTTCCGAACAACAACTTGAGGGACTCCTGTTCTGGACTGGACCGAGGACCCCACTGTCAGACATGACTCAATCCATCTCTCCGTTGTGGAGAACCGAGGACCCAACTTATCACACAGGAAACGCTCACGCGTCTCCTCTACAAACTCCACGCGTCTCCTCTATAGACTCCACGTGCCCCCAACTCGGAGACACATCTTTAGGCAACTACCTACCTTCCGAAGATCACGGGACAGTTGACCCAAGGCGAAGACTACATGCTGGTCTTTTCTACGTCATGTAAGACCTGACAGTTATTCGTATTGGACCTAGCGACACAACCCAAGGTAAAATAATCGTTGGCTCAACGCTAAGAGCATATTATAAATACTCTCTCTGTAAGAAAGAGTCGGGTATTCTATTCACAATCTAATTGTACTTGTCTTTTTTTACTTTGTTCTTTTTTTTTGTTATCAGAGTACCTTGCATATATACCTCCTCCTCTTCTCTACCACCAACAAATTAAAGAGCTCACGATGTATGCGATTCTAAAAAACTATTGTAAGACGGGATGTAATAACTTATGGATCTGCCATAAATTTTACAAATCATAGATGATTATATATTTAGTTTTGAATATAACATTCATTTTAACAAATGATACTCAACGAAAGAAGTGTAGAGAAAGAACAAATGAATAAATGAGACTCACAACATATCAAGATGAAAATAGATTATAATTCTTTGTCATGCACACCGAATCATAATTAAACAATTAAACACATTCCAATGCATCCAAATAGATGAAAATGAATTGTTGGAAACCCAAAATTTCGTCCACTACATATCTATCTATATAATATAAATGTACAAGATAACTAAGTATAGGAAGAATTTATTTAGCTAGAAAGGTGCAGATGCTATGTCCCTAAATGCTTCTAGTGATGCTTCTTCAGCCACTAGTTCCAACTCTTCACCCGAATCCATGTTACCCGACCCCATGCAGCAAGCAGCACTAACCACTGGTTGCAATCCCTGCAAATAATAATTGCTCTCATATTAAACACAAATTAACTCTCTCAAAATATGTCAACAATAATAAGCATTAGTGTTAGTGTCCGACACAGATACAGACACACGTGTATAGGCTCGAATTAGAAATATGTACCTCAGTGAAAATTCTGGAAGCATCTTCAAAGGTCTCTGTGTTTATTATATATATTGCTAAATCCTGTAAATTCATCAACATATCATCAATAGGGAGCAACAAAAATGATATGAATAGAAGAGAGAAAAGAAAAAATTTGATGCAGTGAGTTACCCTTGCAGATCGAATCTGGTCGATACCAAGAGTTCTAGGCTCCATTTCAATAGATGAAGTCCTTTGAATAGGTGGTGGTGACATAGCCATAATAGGTACGTGCTTCCGACGAACGAGATGAAATATAACTCTTTCTATGAATTTGGCAGAGTTGTTGAATTGAAAGAATATTAATCCGAATGGAATTGTATCCTATATATATACAGTTGAGAATGTTTGGTGAAATTGAAACCTAAGGTGATGAAGCACGCACCATGCAACGTGGCGAGCTCTAAAAGGTGGGTTACACGTGGAACGATAAATAGGGCACAGATGGTGACATAGTAGAGAGAAAGCGATTAGCGTGATCGAAACGTGTTTTGTATGGTTATAAAAGGAAATAAAAAGAGGTTAGTGGATTTTAAACGTATTTACGTGTTAGGTTAATGTTGGTGGGTACCGGAGAAGGAGAGTCATAACGGTGGGGTTGACGGGGAAGGCACCGCCATTTGAAAAATCCACGTCGATCAAACTAAGATTGTAAACGTGTACGTATAAGATACATCGCCTATCATTGTTGATGTATAAATAAATAATGTAGGGGAAGATATTTTAACGACCTTATCGATTTAAGATTTCGAAGGATAAACCATTAATAACGAATTATCACTTTATATATTAAATTTCATTTTAAAAATGTATAAAATTAATAAAAAAAATTTGTTAGTAGGGTGTTATTCAAGTGCAAGGTTGTTGTTAGTTGTAAATTGTTGATGAAGTTATTTAATGTGTGATTAAATAGTTAATTAGTGTTTTGTAACTAATTAATAACTTGTTAGTTAGAAACTGTTTGTATAAATACATGAACAAAATGTGAATAAAATCATCTTACTTTACACTATTTCAATTGTTATTTTTCTTCTTATGTTTAAAAGTGTGTTGTGCAAGTAAGAGAGATAAAAGTGTTTAAACAAATTGGTATTAGTAGTAGATTTGTGGTTTTATATTGGGAGAGTGAAAATCAAGAGGATTATAATAGCATGAGTTCCATCGGGAATTTTACCACCCAATTATTAAAGTTTAATAGAAAAAATTGAGAAAGATGTGAGTAGATGAGAGCATTGTTTGACTTTTAAGTTATGAATGGATTGACGAAATATTATAGAATGGAGCAGAATGAAATCAAATAGAATAATATTATATTTTATTATTTGAAATAGTAAAAAGAAGATGGAATGAAACAGAACATGATTGAATACATTTTATTCAATTCTATTACTTATTCTCATTTTTGTTCTATCAGATTTTGACGGAATAACATATTTTATTACATTTTATATTTAAATATCTAAGTAAAGCAATGAAATATTTATTCCGCTTCATTCCATTCTATTTTACTCTACTCAATTCTGTCACATTTTGTGAATCCAAACATAACCTTAAGATGTGTTAAAGATTTTCAAAAGTTCCTAGATATAGTTAGACATAATCCCTTGATTTGGATCATATTAAAATGTAATTTAATGTATCTTATTGTAATTAATAAATCATCATTAGCAAAACATTAATAATTTATATGTGTGTGTGTGTGTGTGTGTGTGTGTGTGTGTGTGTGTGTGTGTGTGTGTGTGTGTGTGTGTGTGTGTGTGTGTGTGCGCGCGCGCGCGCGCGCGCACGCACGCACATCATATAATGCAATAAAATTCTATTTTGGCACCCGAGCTCTTAAGTCTTGAAGGCTCTAGATCCACAAAAATAATCTCTCATCTACTGTTTTTATCAAGTTAGACAGAGATAACTATCAACTATAGAAATCAATGGTGTTGCCTATAATCAGAGGTGCAAGGCTCGATAGTGACATGTTAGGGAATAATGAGTTCCCTGAAGAATTCATCATTGTTGCAGATTCAAGCAAAAAATATCAAATCCTGAGTTTGAAGATTAGTAAGCATATGATCTACAACTCTTTAATTGAATGAGAAATTTAATGATTGCTAGCATAGCAACACAATTATTACACTATGAAACCTCAATGCAACTTTAAGAGGAAGCTCAAAGTCTAACTGGTGCTCACACAAGGTCACAAGTTACTTTTCTCGAATCTAAGTTCCATAACACCAAGAAAGGAAAAATGAAAATGGAAGATTACCTGATCAAGATGATGATCCTGGCTGATAAGCTCAAACTTGCAAGAAATTCAGTTTCAACTTTTGATCTAATCATTTAAACTCTGAATGGTTTAGATTTTGAATATAATCCTTTAGTTGTCAAACTATCTGATCAAACTACACTCAGTTGGGTTGATCTACAAGCTCAATTGTTGACCTTTGAAAGTAGAATTGAGCAACTGAATAACCTCACCAACCTAACCCTCAATGCAACATCAAACTGAAGGTGGCAAGAAGCACAAGAAAGAGGGGGTTTAAATTGGGTTTCCAAGATTAAAACTTTTTAGTGCTCAAACGCCAAAAATAGAACCAAGAGTAAAAATAAATGAGCACAAATATTTTTATACGAGTTCGCTGTTAACAAAGTTAATCCAGTCCATCTGTCAAGGTGATTTTTCCTTCGCAATAAGGACTTAATCCAGTATAATCACCAGATTACTGACACACAAATACTCTTGAGCAGAAAATTTTCTCCCAAACCAGCAGATATCATTCTCCCAGGTGTAGAGAGATTTTGGCAACATTTGGCTAAAACCAAATTATCTTGCCACTAAGTTAGGCTGATAATTAATAAACCCAAAAACAGTTGACCGTGTCTCAATGCGAGTAGATAGAAGTGTATGGGTGATAAGTGGCCAAGAATGAAGATAAACTGAGTAAACTTGACACTTATATAGGCCATGAATATGGAATCTCTGACAAAATACCGTTGCCTTGATTAGAAAATGAAAACATGATAAAGAATGGTTTCTATTGATGAATACTTTGAAATTATGCAGAAAAGAAGGCTTAAAACATAATGGAAAGTCAAAAATATCAAACTTGTGCCACAAGGGCGCTGCAGCGAAGAGCGAGAAAAAAGTGAAAAACACGAGCATAGCACTACAAGCATACTCTTCAAGTCTAAGTTTCCATAGTTGTGCAAAGCGAGGAAAAGCTGAGCACGACGTGCCTAGCAACTTTTGGAAAAATATTATAAATAGATGACTTGGCTCATGTAGTTTTTCATTCAATTTGTATTGTTTTTAGTTGAGCTTGGTTGTAATAGAAAGTAAGAGAGGGAAATCGAAGAATCAAGATGGATACGCATCAGTAATCGAGAGATCATTGTCGATGTTGATTCATCTTCAATCCTTCCTTTTTATACAAGCTACCATGACAATGGCAAGCTAAAATTCCTTCTCTTGTCGGGATTGGAATGAATCTACCACAACCGTATGTATACTTATTGATTATGATTTCAATTTAAACATGTCTTCGTACTTCTGATTCGAATCGTTATTGAAAAATACTTTCGAATCTTGAAACAAGATAAAGATCTATTAAACACTAGTTGCTAGACATAGAATTAGGGTTTAATATTCGCAAGAATACTCGTTCTTAAGGTTATTGGTTTGATTAATAGATTGAGAAATCATCGATTAAAAAACCGATTGAACTATTAAACAATCGTATAGACAAATCTGTTGTTGTGAATGATATGTGGAGGTAAGAATAAAGGTTAAAGTTACAAAAAGTAATCGGTAAATTGCATACCTAAACGGTAGAGGAATTCCAATCCCAACAAGATTTCTTATCATTAAAAACTTTGTTTATCTAATATTGTTTATTTTACATTCAGTTACTATTTCAACAAATCTTTCTGCAAATTTAACTTGAAATGATATCGGTTGTCTGAAGCATTATAATATTGCACCAGTCTCTGTGGATACCATAATAAATATTTTATTTTGATTTATACGACATCGAGTGGTTAAAAAAGCTGCCCAAACAACATTTAAATTTTTAGCAGTGGAAGGGGTGACACCGGGGGACCTGTTTCATAACCAACTAGGGCCAACACATCGATCTACGAAGGGTGCCATTGTCGAAACAAAAGTTTTGGTATCGAGAAGTAGATTGATATACTTTATGAATGTTATCTGTGAAGGAATATCTTGTGGGGTAACTAAGGCAAGTTGAGTGCCTTTGATGCTCCTAACATCAGTTTCTACCATCAGAGTCTGTGAAATGGATATTTGTAATCTTGGTTCAAATGTAGCATTCAACCAAAGTTGTAAGAGCCACAGGGGGCCAGAAACACTACTACGAAAAACACCTACCATAACGGTTGGTAAAGGGATACCACCACGCTGGTCCAACTATTGTAAGTAAGGTGTGATTGTATGTATGAAGCTTTCCACCATGAACGTGCGACCGTAATTGTATATTTGTAGCTCGCTATATACCACATTAGTTACTTTAAACAACTGTTGTGATATTCTTTAATTCAAAATATTTAACAGCGGTTTTGCTAAACAACTGTTGTGATATATACACCTGAGTTTATTATAAATTATGTGGAATACTTATTTCGTCAATGCTCACTAAACATATAACCTTTCAATCTGAACTAGAACATTATAATATAACCAATTAAGTTATATTAGAAGAATAAGTGCACGTTCAATGCTTGACAAGAGTTCTTCAAGTCCTTATCCACATTTTGCTCTTTAACAATTAGAACTTTATTTAATTATCCTACTTCTTCAACCACCCATGCCTTCACCTTTAGTTAATTTTACAAAATATTATTTACTTTGAAAACAAAATTATAGGTGGAGAGAGAGGTGGTTGAAGAACTAGAAGCATTAAACCAAGTTCTAACTATCAAAGAACAACATACATATAACACATTGAATAATTCTTGTCAAGAATTAAACGTGTACTTGTTTTCTAATACAACTTTATCTATCATATTATAATTTTCTAATGCAATTGGAAAATTAATATATTTGGTAAGTGATTGGAAAAACACTAAACCACATAATATATAATAAAATCAGCTTTTAAACAAACATTAACAACAACATTCATCTACAACAAACCATAAACATCATACATGATACAAAAAATGTATTAAGTTATAGAATGCTTTAGAAACGTACCATACATGTCCCATAA